CAGATTCAAAGGTTAATAAGTACAACATAGGGGATGTGCCATTACCCGTAATCCGATCTCATAAAGATCTAGGGGTGACAGTGAGTAATGGTTTTAAGACGACGGCTCATTGCCGGGAGGTCGCAGCCAAGGGGTTTCAAACCCTCTGGGCTTTGAAAAGGACATTCACTAAGTTAGATACTAGCAAGTTCACCACAGTATACACATCCTTAGTGAGAACTAAGCTAGAGAACTGCATTCAGGCTGCAAGCCTCTGTTTAAAAGTTGACTCGGACATACTAGAAAAAGTACAGAGGGCAGCTACCCGTGCAATTCCAGAACTCCGTGGTTTATCATACAAAGAGCGGCTTGAAAAGCTAGACCTCTTTACTCTATCCTATCGCAGAGTGAGGGGAGATCTAATTATGATGTACAGAATAGTGAGAAATGATTTCGGACCTAACGTATTCTCTCTTTTTCTTCCCACGAGATTGGGACATCTCAGAGGACATAGCAGGCGAGTAGAAAAGCCAAGAACGAACAAAATACCCGTGGCATACAGGTTTTCACACCGAGTCATCAATACTTGGAACCTGCTGCCTGAAGCAGTGGTGTCCGCACCTTCAATTGACTGTTTCAAGAGAAGACTGGACACTCACAGAAGCATACTAGAAAAGGAATAACATAGGCCGTAGGCCTTCTGTCCTTACTACACAAATCTGAATCTGAATCTTTCCGACCAATCAGGAGAGGCCTCAACCACGTAGATGCTTAAACCACTTTGACTCGATGTACAGTGTTTATTTGTCATAAGTCTGTGTGTTATGCACAAGCAACTCACCGCCGCCTAAAAATAATGCAGTAATTTGTTACAAAGGGTCCAAAGAATCCCCACCAGGCCGGTTTCCGGAATCTCATAGCTGACGCATGACTAGAGACTGTTTAAAATAAACCTCTTTCCCCTGTCATACAAAAAGACCAGATGTAATACATTCACTTTTAAAATTAGTTTTGAATCGCAAATGACCTAGTTTTTGACTTTATCTAAAGTTGAACGTTTATATGGGCATTCCTGAAACACCCACAAGTTTAGCAAAAGCTACATTCTAACTAACTGCTGACTTCCCCATCAAATCATTAACGAAATGAATATTTATATATATATAAGCTTTATAATGTGATATTAATCCTTGGCAGACCATACTTGTTACCATTTTGAGTAACAGGGTTTTGTTTGTTTGTATTTGATTAGAGTTGTAAATGCAAACGGACATCTTTTAAATACATCGCGGGATATCTGTTGGTCTTTATTTTCCTGCAAGACTCTAAATAATCTAGTTTTAGGTAATCAATCAGTTCCGCTTGATTAACTGCTTTTTCATACATTTTCGAGTCAGTTTAAAAATAAAAACGAAGGGATTCGTCAAACGACGGTAATAACGTCTTCACACACGCATGTATGGGTTAGGCCTAACCCGGATTACCCATATGCACCCATGGGTGCATAGAGGTTCCAGTAATAGACTTAGTTGCAGTTCCTCGATCCTTTTTTAACAATTTAGTCATTTCACATTACTAGTATGTAAGACACGAGTAACTTGTCATGTAATTGTGGTACTTTTTAGGAATTCATGTTTTCATCTAGGTACTCCACCTTACTAATAATCTTTTTATGGTCATGAAAGTACATTAACAAAATGTACGGGACGATATTTCTAAAATTTATGCCTTGTACCTGTCTGGAGGACAGGACTTACTATGGGACCACTCCAGTCATTCGGTAATCTACTCTGGATTGAAGATAGATTAAAACATACTTAAAGGACTTGTGTTGAAGTGTGCTAGTTGCTGAGTACATTTCAATGCATTTCATCCGATTCCATGAATCTTCGTACTAGTTTAATTGGTGTACAAATGAGGTCGAATTCTTCGCTATTCACAACCTCCAGAGCGTGTGTGGCAGGATATATTTATTTGAACATAAATATTAGTACAAAGGGGCACCGGATACATATGCGCCACACAATAATAATGAAAATGGGAAGAGAAAAAAGGTGAGGAGCGTGGAGAAATAACAATAACGGACAGATCAGTGTAAGGTAGTGTAAGAGTAATGAAAATAATGATAATAGAATTAATGGGGAAAACGGAAAAGTACAATCAGAAGAAATCTTTCAGTTAAGGAAGAAACAACCATTTTTTATGAAGAAAGTAAGAGGTTAAGGCAGGATCGCCACTGGCTTCTATTCTGAGCCATATCTGATAACGTCTCTAGCCACTGTTGCACCGTCTCTCGGACCCCAGCCAGGGAATCGTGAAAGGCCGATAGGAGCCAGCCCGTTGCAGCTTTCTTTCATACCCCGACACAATTTCATACACTGACCACTTCTCTGCTTTTTCCAATCAGTCCCAGTGTCGGGAAATAATGAACGACGAGGAATTCTCTGGGACGACATTCGGAGAACATGTCCAAGCCATCGAAGTAGATGTTTCAAGATAGTGACACCAATTGAATTATCGCCTCTGCGCCCGAACACACGATGCTAAACCTCTGGATTACTGACATGGTGTTGCCACTGGATGTCAGTAATCCTTCGGAGACAGCGATGATCGAACGCAGAGAGTCGTCTCACGTCCTCAACTGGGAGAGGCCAAGTTTCACAAGCATAAAGCAAGACTGCTCTCACCGACGCGTTGTAGATCCGACATTTTACAGCCAGACTAACATCACGAAGGCGCCAAAGGTGGCCCAGATTGGCATAAGCCACTCTAGCTTTCACTATACGTTCATTGATCTCATCACTCACACCCCCACCAGCACTTATGCAGCTACCAGGTACACGAACTTCTCGACTACTTCCATCTGCTCACCATCCAGGGTAAGTACATGATTAGAATCCTGCCAGTCTTGTAGAAGTACTTTGCACTTCGAAGGTGCAAGCACATACCATACTTACGGACACTGATTGCCAACTGATTAAGTGCGGATTGCATGACTTGGGCACTATCGCACAGTAAGACTATCATCCGCATACTTAAGGTCGAGAAGTCTTTCTCCAGGCAACAGAACAGTTAACTAGTGGTAAAATTCATATCGAGAGGTGTTTCTATTTAATGTTCGTTGCTAAAATTGTCCGATAGTACGTGAAATTTCCTATAGTTGCCTTTAGCTAGTTCTGTTATAGTTTCACCTCTATAAACTGCTATTATACGACCCCGTTCATCTGGCTTGTGTAAGAAATTAAACGTTTTAGGCATTTTATGGAGTTCTTAACAATATTTTGTTTGTAATCCTAAACGTACGTAGGTCTAAGGCACGAGTATTTCTAGCTCTCTGATATTCAGACTTAGTCTCGTCAGAACCCAGTAATCTTCCATATCCTTTCATTTCTACTGAAAATGCTATGAGCTTTGTGAAACCATGATGGGGAGTTTCTTGGTTGCATTAACATTTAAGTACGATTTCTCAAAGATCTGAGACGTTTTTACAAGGAATCGGGGTTTAGTACCTCAACCTACTGAGAACTCTCCATGATTCCCTGTATATTTCATTGGTGAAAATGTTTTGGTCCTAATAATCCGTACGCATTAAAAGCCCTAATATACAGCGTTAAATACAGTTGCAAAAACAGTCATGCTGTTTTCTGGATTTTTTGCTAGCGATTTTAGTTACATAACAAAGTTTTCAATGAAAGATAGGCTTCGTCGATCAGAACAATTTGGGGGACATAATAAATTATTTGATAGTAGGCCTCTCAGCGATAACGAGGAAAATGGCTGATGAAAACTGAGCTATTGAGGTGTTTTACATACTTGATGTTCGTATTGAAGACTGTGACTTTGATGTTTGTTGACAGACAGTTGTTTTCAGTTCCATATGTTCATCAACTGTAGGAATGCTGCCCTAGCTTTTTCAATTTTTGCCTTTACGTCTGCATCAGATCCTCCTTGTTTATTGATGTTGCACAGGTATGGCTTCTAATACACTGCTACTAATTAAATAGGAGGCAGTTATATTTCATACTGATTTGTTTCTCTGCTAACAGTAATGACTCAGGCGAATTTAATTATTTACTATTCACTTAGTTGTTTTGAAAAGTAATGAAAACCACAAAATAGTTACTTTTGTTCCTGTGTTGTATCACTGTAATTTAGTTAGTTGTTAGTTCAGTCTTTCCTCACCAGAAAATGTTTGTCCCTTTCTGTTTTAGTTCCATTATGACTCTCTCTTTACGCTGCTCTGTTGTGATTGAAGAGTTAGCTTCTGACAAGTGTACCGTAAAACGTCGCACAGCACTTCGTGAATCGCAAATTTCAGCAGTTAGAGATGACTTACAGCAAATTCTCATACGTATCACTCCTATGAACAATTCAGGCTGCAAAAAGATGGTGAAGAAAAGCATGGGTTATCCAGTCATTGAATTAGATCTTTACAAAAACTTTTTATCACAAGGCAAAGCCACTATATGTTTACCAGTTCATTCTGTAAGAATAATGATTAGTAACTGTCCACCAGATAAACTTCGTTTTTTCCTCGCGACTCTTCGTACCAAATTAAAGACACAAAAGACTCACGTTTTGAAAAGACCAGTACCACCGGATGCTCCTCCTACATCTATTTCACTTCTAGAAGAAATAAGTCCACTACCTCTTCCAAAGAAAATCAACTCTCACCCAAAAGTCATAGAACCATTTTCTTGTGACATGTCTGTCATAAACTTTCAAGATGGTAGGTATAATGATTTTATACTAATGTTAACTGATTTATAGTGAAGATCAGGACGAATTCCAGTTTTCCTGAGACCGTTCAAAATACCTAAATAATAATATCTTTTTTAAACGAATGCCTGCATCTTCTCTGTAGTTGATTTATATGTCCAACATTCGTCACCAAATATTTTATGGTCATTCATGACTTTTGTTAGTTAAACTCTGGAATTTCATCCTTCTGTATTTTAAGAGGACTACTCCATCAATAAAATTCATATCCTGTTGGGGTGTGCAATCTCAATTTACAATTTATAGGAATAAAAGCAGTTTCAATTAGGCTTAAATACTATTACAGTAATTTATTTTGTGTAAACACTATTTGTAAGATTTCAATACATCTTTACTCAAGAAATATTGTTATATCCGAACGAAGAATAAGTGAATGGTAATTGCTAGAAACTATTTATGGACTATTATTACATATGTCCTTATTGGATAATTATTAAGTAACGAGATTTTATATATATTCGTATTCCTTTTATCATAAGCTTTCATTTAACTTGTTAACTGTTATTATTTGATTTACTATTCTTAAGTTATTCTCAGTCTATTTGTTACATCTTACACTCACAGCCACTTTTGGTTTGATGGTTTGATGCAGTCTGATTTGCTTGTTTATAAACAACGTATGTCTGGAATTTATGGTTCATACAGTGAAAGCTGATGTTGTGTTCTGGACTCAGTGAACAGTGCTAGGCGAGAATAACTAGTAAGGACTCAGAGTTGACTCTAGCCTGCTCGTTCTGTTTTGGTGTGACATTGGTTTGTGTTCTGATTAGCAATGTAGTCACGTAATAATTAACAGGGCAAAAAGACGTAACAATATAGGAACAAATCCTGGTAAAATGAAAGTAGACACCAACCATATTAACTATTGTAGAACAGTACAAAACCGGTAAATGAGTTAACGCGATTGCCTACTGTATACAGAAGGGGAAATAAAGTTAATATGGACAGCCAATTATTATCACCAGTCGCCATAATAAGAATCTAACTCGGCGCTCAATACGTGGATGTTTACTGAGTTACATTGGTTGCACGTCAGAATCGCTACGGTCCTCCACCAGAGTTTCCTCTGGCTTCAACCTTCACAAGCATAGTTCACCATCTTTCGGGTCTCAACGTGTACGCTCTTGCTCCGCCCCGACGGTGCACATAACACGAGGTCACATGTCTACGTCATGGGACGGGCCGGTGATGCGCCCGCTGCTCGCAACTTGGAAAGTATGAGCAAGACAACAGGATCTCACCTCAGTCCGGACAAGCCGAACCTTTACCTTCACTTCGCCTCTGGGTTTCGTAACACCCAATGACTCGCGCACATGTTAAACTCCTTGGTCCGTGTTATTTACAAAAATGAGAGGACGAAAAGCGAATGTCCGGCGCTTTAACCGGATCACAAACTGATGGTGCACATGGGCTCCAGTATCCTGCGGGAACAAATGGCGTATGAACCAATCGTTGGTCACCGGCTACCATGAGACTGCATCTCCTTACGATGCTCCACTGCCTTGTGGGTCAGACCTCTAGGTCAAAGGCTCGGGGATTGGCCCCCTAAGAAAACCACCTGCTTCGGTTTGGGCACCCGGGCAGTATCACAGCCCTCGCACATATCGAATAAGATTTGTGTGGCGCATATGTATTTGGTGCCTTCTTGTACCAATATCTATGTGTTAAAATAAATAAATAAATACATTGGTTGCGTAATTAATTACATCGAAACGGCTTAGGTCGTCTAAATGTGCTTATAGTATTTTGACTCTTTGTATATTCAGAAGACAAAAGATAGCTAAACCATTTTTTAACGTCATAGCAGCAGCAATGACGTGTATCAATTGTTTACTGTAAATTCGATAAATCCTGATTTCAAACTTCTAGGCACAATGCTTCAATTTATCACTCTATCATACACTTTTTTATAGAAGTTTCAAATACCTGTTCACCAAGATGTGGATCCTTACACCCGACTCCTCTTGTTTCCACTCCTGTACGAAAGGTCGCAGCAAAAAGTCGTGGAGACACAAATCGGTCATTTGGTCATATCTTTGATTCATGGGAATCTGATATTTCAAGTCAGAAAGGTCACGACGAACAAATGACAGTCATAAATTTCGTAAAGCAAGGGTGCAATGTTTTCTGTACTGGTGGTGCTGGGACAGGAAAATCTCATCTTATTCGTCGTGTGGTTGGTAAGTAATATATATATATATATATATAGTTTAAAAATTACAATATCTTATCAAGATGATTATGTATAAAAAACATCCGAATACATGTGTCTTTTGATGATTCTTTGTGGAAGATTTCTTAAAATATGTATCGGTTACTCTTCATAGCATCTGTCACATTGCTTAATAGCTTTTGATCAGTTATTTGAAGTCACTTGCTTTACACTTCAACCATTTATTTTTATTCGTTAGTGTACCCAAACAGTGTTATGAAGGTCAAGACTTCTTTGTATATTGTCATTAGTTGCATCTATGTTTGACGGCTGTTGCAATTGTCTGAGTAACTGTTTATAGTCAGCGTGTTAGATTGTATGTGTTCCCATGGGTGGCAATTTTCTTCATGGGTCTTGGTATATTTGTTCTGCATAATCCTATTGTAAGATGGGTTAAACTTTTTCTGATTGAATTTATGGGACCATCATCAATCCCAAGTAATGTATACAACGGAATGTTTTCCGGATGTAAAAATAAAGTATCAATTTAAAATATGTGCTCTTAGTTTGTACGTGGTAACGGTAAAACTTTCTGGTGATATTCAAAGTTAATATATTTATAAATGACCGTTTTACTACTCATTATAAATAGTAGTATAACATTGTTAGGATAATTATCATCTACTGAAGTGATTTTCACGAATTAAAGACAATCACTACTTAAAAAAACATTATCACAGATATATATATATATATATATATATATATATATATATATATATATATATATAGTTGTGAAGTTTTTTACGCGAGACTACCGTAGCAGATTTCTGTTCCTACTTTTTTTCAAGAAGTTGTGTTTCTTAAATATTCAGGTCTACTTCCACCGGAGCATACTGCTGTAACAGCTAGTACAGGGTCAGCTGCTAATATTATTGGTGGATTGACAGTACACGCGTTTTCTGGATTAGGAGGTTTACTTGAGTCAGATCTAAAAATGGATAAAGATAACATTTTGGTTTGGATGGAGATTTTGCGTACTCGTTTAAAGTTCCGTCCAGATATAGTAACTCGCTGGCAAAAACTTCAATATCTTGTCATTGATGAAATTAGCATGTTAAGTAGCAGACTGTTTACACGTTTAGAACTTATAGCCACTGAGTGTCGCCGTTCAATGAACAAAATTTCCGAACAAAAAGCTTTCGGTGGCATCCAGTTGGTTATCTTCGGCGACTTTTTTCAACTTCCACCTGTTGTTCATCCATCTGAGGTAGGTTATAATAAACCCAAAATTTACAAATCTATACGGTTTAATTTTATTTTGCATTCATACAGTGTGACAGGCTGAACAGTGTGTTTCTTTTCTATTTTTAATGGCAAGTATGAAAACTTGGGTTAACGTATGTTTACGCTATATCGATGCTTTCAATAATGGACTGAGGTTTTAATCGTCAAATTTCTCCAACTATTACATTAAAGACGTATTACAACCGTAACTCAAAACGTTTTCCATTTAGCCGTTTTTATGGTCTTATTTACTTGGGCCGGTTAGCCATCATGGAGGAGCGCAGGCCACCCACCAGCATTCTCAGTTGAACTCTATCGTGGGAAATCCTTTCCAGTTACTATTCGTTGACTTGATATCTGCTTCCAAATCCCGACACAATGTGTTCCTTGATCTTCCTCTTCTCACTTCCAGTTCCGGATTCCAAGCTAGCTCCCGCCTCGTGGTACAGTTTACTGTCGATACCAGGAAAAGTTTTCAACAAAGTGTTGTTGAGCCGGATGAAAAATTCAGTAGATATCCAGCTTCCAAATCAACGAGCCGGGTTCCGTAAGGATCGGTCGTTCACAGACCAAATCGCGATACTACGAACCATGGTTGAGCAATCAATTGAATTGAATTCGTCATTATACATCAACTTCTTTAACTATGAGAAAGCGTTTGAAAGAATGGATAGGAGAACTTTAGGGAATTTTCTTCGACACGATGATGCACCTGAAGAAGATCGTCAACATCATACGGAATTCATACGATGGATTACAGTGCAAAGTGGTGTATGTAGGATAGCTGACAGACGCATTCCAAGTAAGGACCGGAGTCAGACAAGAACGATTACTCTCTCCCTTCCTCTTTCTTCTGGTGGTTAATTGGATTATTAAAATGTCCACATCTCAAAGAGATCATGGAATACAATGGACAGGTTGGATGCAACTAGACGATTTGGACTTCGCAGATGACCTAGATCTTCAATCCCATACACACCGAAAAAGGCATGTCGAGAAAGTCAGTGTAGCAGCAACCTACTACGACCATCATCAAAAAAGTTCAAGTATTTGTAACAATTGTCTACACAAGATACCCAATATCTGTTGGCCGGATACCATCAGCGACATCTTACTGTGAGAGAAAACAAACAAGCTTCCGTGTAGAGGTAGTTAGAAAAAAACGCTGGACGTGGATCAGACACATTAAGGAAATCACAAAACTGCATCACGACTTACTTAATAACCTAATTACCTACTCCTGTTACCTCTCGTGGAGGAGCATTGGCCTCCCACCTGGATTCTCAATCAAAATTTGTTCTGTGCAATCCTTTCCTGTTGTTCTTCCTTTATTTACTTTTGTGCAGAGCTTCGATGTGGATCCATTCTTTATAGTGATGTTGCTTGCGGCCCAACACCCCTGACACGTTGAAGTTAGTACTTCTCTGATCCTCTTTCACTTGTCCTCCATAGCAGTTTCTTCTTCATCAAGATCTTGTAAGGCTTGGAACCTGTTGTTGAGAGCTATATTGAATTCGTTTAGTTTGCCGCTATCTCCAAGGAAGGCTTTGTTGGACCTTTGTGATACAGTTTCTCCAGCTGTCTAGTGCTTGTCTAGCTTCAGTTTCATCTTGACAAACATCAGGTCGTGATCTGAAGTTGCTATGTCAGCTCCTCTCTTGGTCCTCACATCCTCCATTGAGCTTCTGAATGTTTTTTAGTGATGCAAATATGGTCGATCTCGTTCCCTGTAATGTGATCCAGTGAGACCCATGTAGCTTCGTGTTCGCGTTTGTGGGGGGAAGAGGAATACACTACCACCCATAACCATTTTGTTGAATGCATGTAAATCTGCAGATCTCTCGCGATTGTCATTCTTTTCTCCCAGTCCATGTCGCCCCATGATATCTTCTCACCCGGCGTTGTTCATTCCAACCTTGGAGTTTAGGTCTCCCGTCAGGATGACCAAGTCTTTTCCTGGACACTTCACTACGACCGATTGCGTCCTCTCGTAAAACTGGCCTTTATCGTCTTCATTGCTATGATTGTTGGGTGCATGACATTGGATAGGATTCTTTGTGACCTCCTTTGTTTTGAAGGATGCTTTGATTATTCTGGATCCATGGTTTGGGGCGGCCAAACCAAAACGTGGCATCAGTGCTTGAATTCACTAACTTTTAGTCTAAGTCATGTTGGGAGCTGCAGACTAATTGGTTGGGGTCCGTGTGACTATCGTAACCAATGGTTGGAGACTCTCGGTGACATGGCTCAGAATCGGTCACACTGTCGTCGGTGTATACACTCTCTGTCTTCTCTTAAACTAAGAGATTAAAATCGCTTCATATCTTTTTTTTCTACGAACTAATTCTTTCTTCCTGTTCTATATCCTTACTGCAATCTTTCTTTTATATATTACCACCTCTGAATTAACTACTACTATGAATCCAATGTCCACCTTGTTGTGTTAATGAGGTATGGCAACTTGGACGGATGCATATATGTGCCTGGTCCTACGTTGTAGCTGACTGACTCTGGATCCATGAGATTCTCATCCTATAAGTGTTTTCCGTGCTTCATTGGACAGCAGCTAAGCAACTCCCTGAGTGTGTGGAGCGTTTTCTTCTTCATAACTAGAGTGCAACAGCATCTCTCCCAAATCTAATCCTTTCTGTCGAGCTTGGATCGAATGGGTTTCACTGATTCCGAGCACCTCCAAGTTGTATCTTCTGATTTCCGTAGCTATTTGATTGATCCTATCGGTCTCCCATATTGTCCAGACATTTCATGTACCGATCTTAGCTGTTGCTCTGGTTGTTAGAAGAGACATCAACCTTTGTGACTTTCGAAGCATCTCAGCTTTTACTATGAGGTGTTATAATTCTTCTGAATGATGATCCTTCAGCTCGGAGGGCAGAGTTTAAGTGGTATAATTTATTATTCATGTTTCACTAACCAGCTATTCTGTAATAATAATTTGAAAGCGTGTTCGTTAAATTAATCTCATTGAAGCAACTTTAAAACGAAATCTGAAGAATATTATATAAGTATCAAATACTTCTATCATCTGGACGTTTTCGTCATGTAACTTCTTGTGTTATGTAGGCATCGTGAAACCGTTCTAGACGCCATAAATCTCATTGATAAAAATATGTAGTTATCTTGATGATATCAACCGTTTTATGTTTTCTCAATCGGAGATTATTCCATACACTTTTTAAGTCACTTATCATCCTTGATTATACTATCTCTTTGACTATGGGACTTTGTTGCATGATGAATTTTATTCTGGATGACCAATGGGGTTATATCGAAAAATATATCTAGTTCGACTTCAAAATTCCTGTCTGGAAAGTGCCAACTCCACATAAAATACTCTTTGATTGATGTGCACTTAACAAGATAAAAACGCTGATTTTATGTAATGTTAAAAATCAGTGTTCGGGAATCGGCTTAACCTATTGTAAATATTATTGAGTTAGTGTTAAATACTGGTTTTACTTGTTCACTGGTTTTGGTAACTGTAGATTGTACATCGGCATTTTGAACTGTTCCAGGAATTTAATTATTTTAAGAACTTCGTAGATAGAACTGAGTCATTTGTTAATATCCTACGGCGTACTTTTCAAATACTCCATAGATTTTTAATTGTTTTTAGGTGTTTATGTGTTAATCAACTGTTATCACGTTGTGACATGAAATAACTAGTCATTACGCACAGCTTACAAAAAATTCCCTATTAAGAAACTATGTTAACAGCGTTCTTTTTTCAGTACTTGTTGGATTGTAAATTTCTCTGCGAAGTTAAGTAGTTTTATATTGTCTATTATTAGTTCATCTAGTATACGTCAGTTGTATTTCTTATTGTAGTATCCTTTTAAATTCCTTATCACAATACACGCAACACTTGAACAATCATTAGAAAAACGTTAATTTATTTTAAGAGCTTTTGATAAATAGTCAACTTGACGTTAACTGGTATTCGTCAGGAATTTCAGCCTTATCGTAATTTAATTTAATGATTGATATATACTATAGAGGGAATATATACATCGTCTATCCTATTGTACTACGCTGTCTGCCATAGTAGATTGGAAAAACGTTAGTGGTGATTAGACTGATACTTAATGTTAGTCCGTTAGGTTATTGACTGCTAGTTTCAGCTGCCTGGAAATTTCCGTGCCTTTTATCATGCTGATTTCCACTTCTATCTCATCAACGTGAAGTGTAACAACATAGATGCGTTAACATTCATCCCAGGTTTTATGTTTATGACAAACTAACTGATAGACTAGATAATATAAATGAAATAGTTTCCAGTTATCCGGTATATTTATTATTATGTCCTCTAATATCAGTCAAATTATATGCTTGTCACCAACTTTTATCAGTAAGATGTTCAATGTTTTAAAACTGAGAATGTATAACCACTAGCAATTTGTATCCCTTAATATTAACTCTGTTAAGAAAAGACAAATTGAATTAACCATTGTTTTTAAATTGATCCTGATTGATTTCACTTCGAATCCGGCAAATTATGACTTAGTGTTACACCATATCGACTTTCCTATTTAACGGAATCCAACCAGCACCAAGGCTATATATTCATTATATTTCCTCAAATTTTACTCCATGTAATTGGTTGTTTTATCTTTTTTAATACTGTAGTCTCATAATAAATTTGCATTCCAATCATCTTCTTGGGCTAAATGTCGTTTTCGAGTTATTGAACTTACTCACTCTTGGCGACAGTCCAATGATCCGAAGTTGGCTCATTTACTATCAGTAATTCGTGAAGGTCAGTGTCCACAGTGGGCTGTGGAAAGATTGCGATCTCGTTTGGTTTCTGAACTGGTTAACGATCAAAATAAACCCAAAATTATAGCAACACGTTTATGTACTCATCGCGCAGACGCTGATGCCTGGAATCAACGCAAGTTAAGTGAACTGCCAGGTCGGTTAAATAATTTTCATTGGATCGTATAATTTCAAAATTTTATATAGTTATTATTACTTTGTAGCTAGTACGCAAGCCAAAACGCATGCAACACAAAATAATAATATCATTACTCTTTAGTGAACCCTGTTTTTTGATGGAATGTAGTGTAAATATTGTTATTGGACTACTCCCACTGACACTGGAATTTATCTTTTGATTCAGTTTGTAGTAAGTAATCGTGCTCTTGACTTTGGTAGTATGAAATGCAAGAAAAACGTTAGCAGATTTTCCAGCTTTGACATAAATTATGTGTCTGTCTATTTTATTTATTAGTTATTTAAACAATATCTAAAGAAATTTAACCATTCATACATAGATTGGCTCCTAGGTCAATCCATAAACGCTATGCAAATTCAACCATTCACTCCTCCCTGCTCATAGTCTGGTCAGTTGACTAGTATGTCTGAGATATAGTATTCCCAACCACTACGTATTTCGGATTTTTTGCTTCCATACTTCTAATAATTCTTGGTGGTGTTTTAATCATCGATTTATATGAAGTTACTCGAAATAAGTACACAACCTCCAACAAAATGAGGCTAATAAAACGTATTTTCGCATCCACTACGAACACCCCTCTGCCCACTTTGTTTCAAGACACATTAAAACGAATGTGGTTTCTTTTTATCCGCAACTTTTAGTTTTTTTCGGTATGACTATAAATATTAAAAAGTGATTGGTTGAAGTGTTATTAAATTATAAGCTCGATATGCCAGTGGTCGACTCCATGAGTCGATCTAAGCTAAACTACCAATGAAAACCTGGGAGCACTGGACAGCTGTTTCGTCCTAGTATAGGACTCCTCAGGTGAAGACGGCTATCCACTTCAGACAATGGATGAGTGGTTGCTCATTTATTCATGGATCAATTGAAGTTAGACGTTAACACCGTTGGATGCCGGCTCAATGGTCTGGAAGTTAAGTGTTCGCACGCGAAACCGTAGGTCCTGGGCTGGAGTCTCACGTGCGGGATCGTGGATGCGCGCTGCTGAGGAGTTCCGTAATAGCACAAAACGGCTGTTCAGTGCCTTTGGGTTTTCAGTGGTGGTCTAGCTTAGATCGACTGAACTGTTAAAATTACTACAATCTCCACAAACCCCTATCCTGGTAATATGCTCAATATTTCAAAGTGCACACTTTTTTAGCGTAAATATATAAAGATAGCATGCTGGGAAAAAATATCTCTGGGCGCAATCACATTCGACCGTGAATCTAGACTATTGATACAGTGATTATTGTAATCACTGCACAAATTATTGACTTGTATATCTGTCTTAAACTAATAATGGATGATACTTTTCTTGATTATTAATATTACTGAACGACAGGTTTGAGGATTGCAAAGGAGAAAGATGTGCAAAAATGTATAATAGTGGGGCTCGATGTGAATCATACGTTTAAACCCTAGTTGTTTTAATGTTATTCCCGTTTTGAACAGCTTGCTAGCATTAAATGCTCAAAGCCTAATCTACACTAACCTTTTAATAAGTTACAGCAGTTCGAACTAATTAGGGCTTTGAGACTCGTTTTCAGTTTTAATTTAAAACTTTGGAAAATATATCGACTAAGAGTTTTTGCGTTGAACGTAAGGCGTTATTGCTAACAAAACAAAATATATGGAAATAGGAATTAACATCAAATTCTATTCATCAGTTTTACGAATTAGTCAAATTTGAATAAACTGAACATAAAATATGTTAAATAGAAAAACACAACAAAAAACAGACAGTTATTGGATAAACTCAGAAGGAGATCTTATTCGATAGAAAAACAATGTGGTAAAATTCAAAGAATTGTTAGAGAACACCTTTTAATGTCGACATTATACATTTGAGAATTCAGACTCCAGAAATTCCAACATATGCACATTGAATGTATTCTAAACCAAAAGTACTTTCTAATACGCTCCAGAGGTTTTACCTAGCTGATGTAAATGAATATATTTTTATATGTTATATCAAATCAGTTAGTGTTAGTATAACGTTAATCGTCACAGTTTTCATGAAATCTATTTACAAATTTTCTTATTTCCTTGTTCACTCATTCAAATAGGTTCATTTAAAGTTTATCGATCTCAAGACAAGGGAGTTGGGAAAGGTATTTCAACCACAATAGATTCATCTTGCCCAGCTCCTTCTGTACTGAATTTAAAAGTTGGTGCTCAAGTAAGAACATGTTTATTTATCGCAGTTTATTTCATTCTGTATTATGTTGTGCATACCATTTAGAAAGTTTTGAATCAGTGATATATGCGCACACGTAAAAATATGCGTCAGGGTTGAATACAAATTTTCATTCTTATGAACATTATGTCGTTAAGTGAATTCTACAAACGCTCAAAGTTTGACACTTAAACTTGCTTTACATCCCTCACACTTTTAACAACCAAAAAGCAGTAAAAGTACAATTCAGAATTAGATTTAAATTTATACTTGGTATATTGTTCAAAATTGCATGAATCGGTTTATTCTTTTAACAGCATGTTGTAAATATAAAACTTTAGGTAATGCTACTAAGAAACTTGGATACCAGCCGTGGACTTGTCAACGGTGCACGAGGCGTAATAGAGAAGATAAACAACGATAATGGTCTTCCTGAAGTTAGATTTTATTCTGCAAAAGCGAATGGATCTAATGGCATCTTACATGTTGTACAAATGGAAAAGTGGACTATTCGTGGGGTTGATGCAGAAGAAATCGCGAGTCGACGTCAGTTACCACTAACTCTGGCTTGGGCAATATCCATCCATAAAAGTCAGGGGATAACATTGGAATATGCGGAATTAGCTCTGTCAAAGGTTCGTATTTTGCAATAGTGTGACGGACTAAAAAGTTTTATTTTCATAATAAATAATTTAGTTCAAAGTAGTTGGCGTCCATGTTTGCAGAATACGTACGTTCTCAACCGATTAACTCATAATCGTTTGTTTCCAGCATTGTCGTTACTCTAAAACTCAACAGAGTATCTTCTGTTACTAGTGATAATGAAATTAACACTTTGCAATTAAAAAGTAATGAACAAAAAACAAATGATTTGATAAATCATAGTAGTTATACCAGGATAGCGAATAAAAAATCATTATTCACTAATCAATTTCAGACACAAGGTAGTTCAAACCAATATTAACCCTTAACGCGAGCAACGTGTCAATTCCTAAACAATTTTGTTAACGGTTCAATGTTCAGATTCAATAAATAATAAAAAAAAGTGATGCTGAACCAATAATTAAAAATAATAGTAATAATGATGCGAAGGTTTGTAAAATGAAATAACAAAGACAATAATATTTCGTTATATGTAAATTAATCAAATCAGGTTATTCTAAAAATTGAGATAACTATTGATTTATTAACCTTGAAGTTGGCTGAGGCAAAAGGAGTTGAACATATTTCTTTTGCACACATAGTTCTTTTTTGTCGGTAAGAATACTTTTGTAATTAAAATTGTTGTTCTTATACTAATAATTGCTAATGTGGCTATGCAACTGTAGAACCTAAAGAGAATTTATTAAAAAGAATATTCTTTGTTTAATATATCAGCGTTTCCTTTAATCAAATAATTTCACATTTAAATATTTTTTGGTTGAATGGTAGTAGAATACTCATGACCATAACTTAATGAAGTATAATTAGGTACATAGGTCTCATCGGATCACATTACAGAAAACCAGATCGATCATTTCTGTATCACTAGAAAATTCAGAAACTCAATGAAGGATGTGAGGACCAAGAGAGGAGCTGACATAGCAACTTCAGATCACGACCTGGTGTTTGTCAAGATGAAACTGAAGCTAGACAAGCACTAGACAGCTGGAGAAACTGTATCACAAAGGTCCAACAAAGCCTTCCTTCGAGATAGCGGCAAACTAAACGAATTCAATATAGCTTTCAACAACAGGTTCCAAGCCTTACAAGATCTTGATGAAGAAGAAACTGCTATGGAGGACAAGTGGAAGAGGATCAGAGAAGTACTAACTTCAACGTGTCAGGGGTGTTCGGCCGCAAGCAGCACCACCATAAGGAAGTTTAGAGGGGCGCTGGAAATGCTGGTAAACATTTCATCCAATCAGTGTTAAAAAAGAAGCTTTACAGAATCATTTGAAAAGTGAGGGGTCACATGTCACATTCCTAATTGATTAATTACCAATGATGCTAATATATTTGCTATAGTTTCGAGAACTTCTAGAACCCCTTGATTTTTTGTACATTAACCAACTTTTGAGTAAAACGCTCTCTTCACACTTCGAGCTTTTTTCTCTTATGTTCAAGTTACCATGTAAATTTAGCCTAAGATAATTAGAAGCGTCTAGGAAACGGATACAAGCATGCAGTTAGAAAGATTATTTTATTCGTTATGTTATTGTCAATTATGAACAATCAGTTGTGGTATGTCGACTTATTTCACCGTTGTAGTTATTGATTTTGTTGTTGTTGTTGTTATTCTGTCTGTAAAAATTTCAACTATCATTTCCGCTCCAAATATGTTAGTATGTTGAATACCTTCTTATTTTTGAATTCTATGGATTCTTATGTCGCTTTGTTTATTCCAGGTATTTGAATGTGGACAAGCCTATGTAGCTCTTAGTCGGTGTCGTAATTTAAATGGCCTATACTTACTCGATTGGCGCCCTGAAGTGATTCGTGCAGATCCTAATGTGATAAAATTTTATGCCAAAATTAGAGAGACCAATAATGAGATTAAAAACAAGATTATATGATAATATTTTTACAATTTTCTTTATACATTTTTTCAAAAAGAAACTATCCTCATAGATCGACGCATTTTAATTATTTTTATGTGAATGAAATGTACATTTACAAATGAATAAATTTTAGGTAAAGTTATTCGAATCTTATCTAATTTCGATAACTAAATTGATTACAGTATATAGTAATGAACGTCGACTTATTCATCACTGGACACAAAAATATTTACTGGGAAATATTTACATGGGAAATATGATAACGAATATGACTAATATATTCAGAATGATGATAACTCTTGAATGATCTGAGAATCATTACTTTAAGATCAATTGGTCGATATTTCTTAACTTTCATCAGTAAACGAGCGGTTTCTCTTTCAAATATTTTACTAATTATGTTTTTCCTTACGCCTGTTACATAGAGAAGAATAGGCTACCGACTACCTTTCTCTATCCAACTATATCTTGGGCAGTCCATTCCAGTTGCTATTGATCTTTTCACATCTGCTTCCAGTTCTCGACGCAGTGTGTTCTTTGGTTCGTGGTGTCGCGATTTGTTCTGTGAACGACCGATCCTTACGGAATCAGGCTCGTTGATCTCGAAGCTCGATATCTACTGAATTTTTCATCCGGTTCAACAACACTTTGTTGAAAACTTTTTCTGGTACCGATAGTAGTGTGATGCCTCTTTAGCTATCACACTTGCTCAAATCTCCTTTATTTGATATCTTGATAAGATGCCCCTAAATGGCCTGGTATGGTCGAGAGTGGGGTGGGTCCCTACCTCCCTCTCGAAATGCTCTCACACGGCCACGCGTATACAGCCTCTGCCAGGGAAGTCCTACTCACTGCCTTCTCGCACTACAGGTGTTGTTTACGAAAACGAGAGGACGAAAAGCGAATGTACGGCGCTTTAACCGGATCACAAATTGATGGTGCACATGAGTTCCAGTATCCTGCGGGAACAAATGGCGTATGAACCAATTTTTGGTCACTGGCTACCACGGGACTGCGTCTCCTTACGATGCTCCACTGCCTTGTGGATCAGACCTTCAGGTCGAAGGCTCGGGGTTTGGTCTCCTAAGAAAACCGCCTGCTTCGGTTTGGGCACCCGGGCAGTCTCACAGCCCACGCACAAATATGATGAAATATCGATATTTATGGAGAATACTTGTCTTGCTTCGAATAACAATCAAGCGATTCACTATTATTATTATTTACGTCATTTGTCCACTCTTTTTTATCCCCACTCTGTGTATCCTTATTTTTCGACTTATACAGCAACTCGCCTATGGTGGAAACTTGGTTCTATTTAAACGCTCTCGAGTCACTGTCCGGTTGAAAATTGTATGCTACCACCAAATACGAATACTGAAGCAGTTTTTTTGAAACCACGTGCTTCATTCAAACTGGCTGCCTATAACGTTCGCACATATATGCAGGTCGGACAACAGATAAGGCTGGCTACGTCTTTGGAAAGTTTTACTATTGATGTTTGTTGTCTATCCGAGACCCGTATTCAAGACTCTAGCGAAGTACTACAAATTCGCTCTACATCTGTCACTTCAAAAAGCTTGTTTTACGTGCACTTATCCGGGGACCCTGTGGCATCTTCGTCTGGTGTTGCTGGCGTTGGTGTCGCACTAAGCGCTAGAGCTGCGGCAGCTTTAGTCGATTGGATCCACATTAACAGTCGGTTATGTGCTGTTAGATTAGAAACTTCCATCAAAGTGAGAAGAAATCGGCGTGAGAAACGATATCTTTTCGTCATCTCCGCCTATGCCCCGACAGATTGCAGCCCGGATGCAATCAAGGATGAATTCTACCACCAGTTATCTGTTCTTCTCCAGAAAATGCGTTCGACAGATATTGTAGTACTAGCGGGAGACTTGAATCCTAAGTCGGGCTTCTAGGCACAGAAGAGAGTCGTTTAGGTGGCCAATGGGGACTCGTTGGTCGCAGGTCAGATAACGGGGACCGTCTACTGCAACTGTGCACAGACCACAACCTGTTTCTGGCTAGCACTAACTTCCGGCACAGTCATCGCCGATATGCCACCTGGTATCCTCCCTCTGCATCCCAAGCCTGGACTCAGATTGATCACATCGCGATCAGCTACCGCTGGCGTGGTTGTGTAAAAGACTGCCGCTCCTTTTGGAGTACCTATCTGGACTCTGACCATGCCCTGGTCTGCGCCAATCTTACCTTACTTTTCAGTGGACAACGAAGTGACCGCCACCAACGGATTGATGTCAGCAAGCTGGTTGCAACTTCTGCTGCTAGTAAGCATCGAACCGAGCTAGTTTCCAGGCTAGCTACCATCCCACCGAAAAGTATTGATGAGCATTGGTTACAATTGTATGACGCCATGAAAATGGCGTCTACAGTCAGTTGTGGGTTCGCGAAACGTCCCGCTTATAAGCACTGGGTTTCTTCTGGTTCCTTACAACTCATTGAAGCCTGTTGGTCTACTCCGGGTGACTGTGAGTTTGACCGAAAACGAAGGATGTTACGTAGTGAAATTGGGCAAAGCTTGCGTAAGGACTGAGAAGCCTGGTGGTCGGATCGTGCTAATGAGCTGGAAGCAGCAGCTGCATCTGGTAACTACCGGAAGCTCCTCCAACTCATCCGAGCCACCGGCAGCAAGAAGTCTGGTGTGAGTGAAACAATCTGCGAGGATGATGGGATGCCAATCACTAACATCCATCGACGTCTTGGACGATGGGCAGAATTTTTCGAAGGGCAGTTCAACTGGCCTGCTGCTCCGGTAACATCGGTCGAACTGTCCTGCCTTCCATGGCCGGTGACGACTGATCCACAGAATGAGGCGAAAGTCCGCAAGGAACTTCCAACCCTTTTTAAATATGGTGGTGACTTTCTGGCTAAAGAGTGTACCAGTGTCATGGAATGAGTTGATAGTTGTCCCTATCTTTTAAACGGGTCCACATCGTCTCTGTAACAACTATCGGATGATAAACCTACTTCCGATTGCGTTCAAACTATCGGCTTCCGTCAAACTTCGTAGATTGCTCAAAACCCGAGAAAGATTGACTCGCGAGGTGCAGGCTGGGTTTCGTTCTGGTCGAGGATGTATTGATCATATCTTCACCCTCCGCCAAATGTTAGAACACCGCCATACTTATCAAAGGCCAACAATCGTAGTGTTTCTTGACATCAGGGCTGCCTTCGGTTCGTTGGACAGAACTGTTCTCTGGGATTGTCTATTGAAGAAGGGTGTGCATGAGAAGTTTATTAACATCCTAAAGGCCCTATATACAAACACCTCAGGCAGAGTGTCGGGAAATACAACCACCTTTCTTCATTGTTCTATTCGAGCAGTGGGGTTAAACAGGGTTGCTCAATCTCGCCATTCCTCTTCGATTTTGCCATCAGTGACATTCTGGAAACAGCTCTGATGGATGTAAGTAATGGCAGTGTGGATCTGTTCCCTGGAGAACGTTGACTCCGAAGGATTGATGACATCTAGTGGCAACATCATGTTAGTAATGCAGTGGTTTTACATTATGTGTTCGGGCGGAGAGACGATAATTAAATCTGTGTCACTATCTTGAAACATCAGCTTCGGTGGCTTGGACATGTTTCACGAATGTCGTCCCAGATAATTCCCCGTCGTTCATTATTTCCCGACGCTGGGACTGGTTGGAAGAAGTGGAGAGGTGGTCAGTGCATGACATGGTGTCGTGGTATGAAAGAAAGCTGCAAAGGGCTGGCTTCTACTGGTCCTTCACGACCCTCTGGCTGGGACCCGAGAGATGGTGCAACACAGTGGCCAGGGACGTTATCAGATATGGCTCAGAATAAAAGCCAGTGGCGATCCTGCTGTGACCTCTTACTTTCTTCATAAAAAATGGTTGTTTCTTCTTTAACTGAAAGATTTCTTCTGATTGTGCCTTTCCGTTTCCCCCATTATTACTTTTATTACTATTACACTATCTTATACTGATCTGTCCGTCATTGTTCTTTTTTCTCTTCGAATTCTCATTATTTTGTTTGGCGCATATATATCTGGTGCCCTCTTGTACCAATATTTATGTGTTATAATAAATAAACTTGGTGAGATATCCTTATTTCCAGTCTGTCTGTGACACTTGTTCTTCCTCCCAAATCTTCCTGAATAGAACGTGGAGTATGTTTGCTGTTACTTCTTTGTGTGACTTTAGTGCTTCGGCTGGTATGTTGTCAGGTCCTGCTGCTTTCCAACTCTTGATTTATCTGATGGCCATGCTGATTTCTTCGATCGTTGGTGGAGTGACATCTGTAGGAATGTCTAAGTGTCTTGCTTCGATGTCCGGGCGGGTCTATTCAAAAGTTAAAATTATGTGTTGGACCTTTGTAATACAGTTTCTCCAGCTGTCCAGTGATGATCTGAAATTGCTATATCAGCTCCTCTCTTGGTCGTCACATCCTCCATTGAGTTCCTGAATTTTTTAGTGATACAGATATTACCGATCTAGTTTTCTGTTATGTGGTCCGATGAGACCTATGTAGCTTTGTGTATGTGCTTGTGGGTAGAGGAATATAGTGCCATAACATTGCGTAGGATTCATTGTGATCTCCTTCTTTGTTTTGCAGATTCGGGATCTATGATATTTTCATCCTATTAGTGTTTTCCGCGCTTCATTGGACAGCATCTAAGCAATTCCATGAGTGTGTTGAGCGTTTTCTTCATGACCAGAATACAACAGCATCCCTTCCGAATCTAATCTTTTTATCCAGTTTGGATCAAATGTGTTTCACTGATTCCGAGCACCACCAAGGCCGGCAGTAGCCCTCGAAGTGGTGTAGGCGAAGTTTTACTAATTATGTTCATGGAAATTTATCACAATTTGGTTGATTAAGACCAATTCAATATTACAATTTTGGTTGTGAGATGTTATCTGAGTTTTCAACTAGTTATAAGTTTATTCATGTAAATTTAAGTACATAAACGAAATTAGTCAATCAGTTGCAATTGACCTTACTGCTCACCGAAAAATACCATTCAATTCGTTGATTTCATTCTGAGAACACTAGAACGAATACTTCACTCATTATTTCTTTCCTATAGTAACAAATATAACATTTTACGGTCGCTTCCATCAATAATTGTATATGTCAGGATTTAATGAATATCATTATTTCTACCATTATTTTAAGTTGCTAAAATGTTGGTGCTTTCTACAAAATCATATAACGAGGTCTAAGAGACTCTGGGAATTAAACTCCAATTTAATTCATCAATTTGAATTGAAACAACAGTAAGATTGATTAAATCGAGTGTCCACTGAAAACATTGCATCATACCTGTAGACAGTAATGAGATGCTCCTTGAAATCATAATTCCTCTGTATAATTGTTAGTGGTGTCTCAAAATGCGGGGATTGATTATTGAGCATAAGTCAATGAGTTTTTCTGTTTGTTGACCCAACTGGCATTCATTCATGTGTTACGGTTTAATGTAAGAAGACTGGACACAGAAACCAACAAACAAGTTTTACTGTATATAAAAGATATATCAGAAATTACAACCGGATTGTTGGAGCCTTTGGGAATAGGTGTAGTACACAAACCAACAAAATAATACTCCTGGAGTTCTAGAGAGAAGCCGTAACCCGTGGAGTTCAACCAGGTCTGTTGTGAGATATCAACTCACTGAAGACAATGGTGTACGGTGGCGCAACTTCGTGGATTGGTTGGAGTTAGACATTAACACCGTTGTATACCGGCTCAGTGGTTAAGTGATCGCGCGCGGAACCAGTAGGTCCTGGGGTCGAATCCCGCAGGGGGCGAGGTCGTGGGTGCGCACTGCTGAGGAGTCCCATACTAGAACGGAACGGCCGCCCCGTGCTTCCAGGTTTTCCATGGTGGTCTAGCTTCAATTGACTCATGATTTTAACAAGTGAAATTTCTAAAATCTCCACAAAATCCCCTCTGAAAATAACTTCAATCAATCCTATGCAAACCAGAGGACGAAATGACAAGAAAAATTGAACATCATCTACAAAATAAATTGTTCCAACTGCGAAAAACACTACATCGAACCAAGTGGTCGTCCCCTTTACCTTCATCTGCAAGAACAACGATTAGCAGTCAAACGCCATGACTCATATGAGCAAATGTGGACACATTCGACTGAAAAAAATGTTGAGATCTTGGATAAAGGCAATCCTAAAAACAACGGAATTTTTAAAACTTAGGTCAACCAGCAGTCAATAAACACAGTGAAATCGACCCAATTCACCAACCAATCAGAAAAATCATGGACAAATGTAGGACTAAGAATCAAGTCAACTGGAGATACAATCAAAATAAGGAAGTAAACGATGACAGGTTCAAAATCAACAATAGCCAATCAAGGTTGAGATCTACACATGACAAGCTGTGAGCCATGTGTGGAGAACTTCAAACATTTCTTTTCTACCTGAAGTTTTTGCTGATGTTCAGAATTACGATGAAAGCGTCACGACTAAACCATCCATTTTAGACAACAAATCTCCACCAAAAAGTAGTTATTAAGTATCAATGAACTAGTTCAAACATAATTATTGGAAGGTGCAATTGATGGTCATCACAGTTCATTATCTACGGTTAAACTACAAAAAACATTATGGTTAGAACTTCATAAATGGATAATAAGGTCGAAAAATGTGATGTTGCTTGCTGTTCATTCTGTAAGAATGAACGTTTGTTCCATGCATATATGGCATATATCAAACTCTTTTTACATTACTGTTGATCATTGCAAAGGTATCTCACGAGTCCTTCCTGACCTCAAACATGTTTTGGCAGAAAATTGTCTTGCCAGTTTGGTTGGATCAAGTCAATAATTAAAATGACTCAGGAAAGTATTATATTCATCTAATAATCCAGAACCTTAGCGAGTGAAATGTCATGAGCAACTCGACGAGTAATCATACATGGTGATTGCCTTGAAACACATCATAACACGATTGGTGTAATTCCACAAACGGAACAGACTAAATCTATCTAGGCGAGCATACTTTGGACTGTCAAGCGATAAGAATAGGTTAGAAGAGCAGAGATATTTGAATAATCAATACTATCCGACTCTACATAAGAAATCAGTAATAGACACCAAATCGTTATTATTTCCAGACTAAACAAGACAGTGTTTGACATAGTACGACATGTATACTATACACAATAAGGCAAAATGTTATATAGAAGAGGTGAAATGTCGCCTACAAATTTGATTAGAAAAAAACACTGGATTAAACTAACAATGAAAACAGATTATCTCAATTACTGTATAATCATAGAAGTCAACTGACAAAAATAATAAAGACAGTTTATCAGTGTGTCGTAGTATATTCACTAGTGGAAGTTTTAATATTGGATAAAATGAAATTCCTTCTTATATCATCTAAAATAATTTCGAATGAAAAAAGTAGGTAGTACAATGGAAACTATCAAATAAATGTTTGTCTTATGTGTTTGTGTGTGTATGTGATACAGCTTGCAAGTGTAAATGGTGTATAAGAAATCTGCCAAGAGAGAAACCTAATTTACTGTATAAATAGTGTGGAAAAAACCCATAAGGATAAAAAAATGATAATGATTTCTCTCGAAAAATTAAGGCATCAGTGTATAATATAACAAAAAGTGATTGTATATATCCATATGTACAAATAGGGAGACTGGAGGATGGCGTAATACTACCGATCATCGTATTTTAAAGACACAGATAAAAAACAAAATAATACTAATTGGAAATTTTTTATAGAAGTGAATAGTGAAAATGATATGGTTTATTGTTTTTAAAAAAAGTATACCCATGAGCATACGTTCGCTATGTATAAAAAAATTAACATGGTAATAATAATAAGGCATAAACAAGGGAAAAACGAATTCATCAAGTTTATTTATTTCATCATAAGTCAGTATCTCGTGAAACTCCACTTAAACGAACATAAGGAGAAGTACCTCTGAAATTTCTGTTCATCATCAACATACCAGAATAATTACTTTTATTACTGTGGACACTATTTACTGGACTTCTCGCAGATGTTTGTGTTGTATTCACAGACTTTTTCAACTTCGGTGTAGTAGAAGTAGCTGTTCTAGTTGTAGTCGATGATGAATCCGAATCTTGCAGTTGTACACATTCTGATTTCGGCAATAAAACTGGTTGAAAATAAAGATTTTTTTGAACATATGCTGTAGGAACATAACCAATTTCTTGTGTCCGCTGTTTACGACATACATGAAGCCAGTCAGTAGTATCTTCCGTTGGATCAGTTGCCAAAATATAAAACTGCTCATCAGCCTCAAATGCTAAATAACATGATTCAAAACCATCGCCTAGTAATAATTTTATTCGGAAAAAAGTAAATATAAAACAGATTAGATTATTAGTAACACATTTATATAATATGTTTATTTGAATACAATGTCGCAGTGAATGGCGCGTTCGGCCATCAGTGGTATTTATTTTATTTATTTGAACACAAATATTGGTACAAAGGGGCACCAAATACATATGCGCCACACAAAATTTCATTTAATTTGCGTGAGGGCCGTAATACTGTCCGCGTGTCCAGACCGAAGCAAGTGGTTTTCTTAAGGGGCCACACAAAAAGCCTTTGATTTAAAGGTCTAATCCACAAGGCAGTGGGTCAACGTCAGGAGATGCAGTTTCATGGTAGCCGGTGATCGACAATTGGTTCATACGCCATTTGTTCCTTAAGGATCCTGGAGCCCTTGTCCACCACTGGTTTGGGATCAGGGTTTTCCAACTCCACCCGGGTGGATCCTCCACATCCACCAACCACGTTAAAGCACCGTACATTCAATTTCCTTCCTCTCAATTTCGTAAACAACAACTCCGCCTCGAGTAAGCAGTGAGCAGCACTTTCCTGGCAGTGGTTGTATGCACGTGGTCATGCGAGAGCATTTCGAGAAGAAGAGCTAACTCTCTCCACCTTCGGCTGTACCAGGGTATTTGGAGGCCATCAGCGGAGACGTTAATGGAGCTGGCTTGTGGGGGTGAATTTGTCTACATCAACTCAGAGAGGGCCGCAAACCAATTGAATCAAAACCACCCACAATATGCACGGCATCAAGACCATCAATATAGACTCTCTCCTTACTCATTTATGCCCCCCCTCAAACGCCCTGGTACGATCGAGGATGGGAGAGTCCGCCGTCCTTCTCAAAATGTTCTCCTATGGCCACGTGTATACAGCGACTGCCAGGGAAGTCCTACTCACTGCTTACTCGAGGTGGAGTTGTTGTTTACGAAATTGAGAGGAAGAAAAGCGAATGTCCGGCGATTTAATCGGGTTGGTGGATATGGAGAGTCCACCTAGGGGAGTTGGAAAACTCTGATTCCAAACCAATAGTGCCCATGGGCTCCAGGATTTTGCGAGAACAAACGATGTATAGATCCATTCTTGGAGACCGACTATCATGGGTCTACATCTCCTAACATCGCTCAACTGCCTTGTGGTTCATACATCGAGGTCAAAGGCCCCCTAAAGAAACCACCTGCTTAAGTCTTGACACCAAGGCAATATCTAAGTCCTCACACCAATTTTGTGTTTCGTATATATATTTTTTGATGCTCTTTTGTACCAATGTTAATGTGTTTGAGTAAATAAAATATCGGATACAGTACTTCAATATTGTCACATTAAAAAATATATTGCAACACATCTACACCTTTTTAAATACCATTATGCGAAGAAAATTCATTGGAAATCGATGAACAAAAACACCATGATTATCTTTCAAGCAAATACTAGGGTGCGTATACGGATAATTTGGAGATTCCTTAATATTGAGGGTTATATAAAATACTGTAACACATCAAAGTGTCAATTATAGAGTGATCAATTGAGGACTTTTTCTGTATACTGATCTATAGATCAACTGATATAATTAGTTTCGTGAGTAATACAGCCTATTGAAATAGTCTTGGTTATTTCACCAGCAAGGATCTTACTGAGTTGCGATATAGATTTTCGAAGCCTATGAATTACATGCGATTAAACATCTGAAATTCCACTACTATACCATAAGCCTTTATCCGACCAAAAAATTGGAGAAAAACAGGATATATGGCTCAGAACCTTCTTCAAGTTTAGTTCAGCTACAGTAGGTGTGACTTTCAATATATCCTGGTGGGAGACCTGTTTATCTACGCGAGGGGTAACAGGTGTACGTGACGTTCAATAATCTTTAAAAAAAACAAAGTGATGATTCATAAGCCGATCAATTAAAATGTAGCAAAAGCGCTGATCAATCAGACAAGTCTCGTGCATTTCACGGCTTCTGGAGGATTCGGAGCAAAAATAAATCAATATTTTTCTAACCGATAGGTCTCATCGATTCAGATTGAGACAAACAAGCTTCGAAGAAAAAGCAATGTGACAGAACAAGGTGATGTACACATGCCTTTATTCACAAAAAAGATGGTGACTAATTAACACTTGTTAATAGTTAGCTATCAAGCCTTTTAGTTTCTGATTTCATAAATATGGGAATTTTACTGTATAAATCCTTGATTCTCAATAAACTTTAATTAGTATACTGCATAGTATATGCTCATTGTTACTGATACACGTTGAACTAATCGCTTAATTGTACTAACAAAAACAGTAGCACAATAGCTTAAACTTCATACATAAAACGCGTTACACAATATAAGGTTGTCTATCTACCAAGAACAGCAGAAATTCACAAATATACATTTTAACAACTAACGGACAATTTCCGAGATTATAACAAAATGTATCGTAAAATATCAAGGTCAATAAAGCATAAATGGTTTGTAATTGGGACGGTTTATATTTCAATACATCAAGTGCAAAAATAAGCGTTTTTTTTTTAACAAGACAAATCAACAGAAAACTGAAATTTTTCAAATAAAATGGTAATTTTCTAAATAGCCATAAAGTTTTTTTCATGTATGAAGAATGCAGACGCTCGAGTGGCATACATACAATGTTTATAACAAGGAAACATTGTAAAGTAAGGGCGAAAACGGTTATAGTCAAATCGTGGCGTTGGAATTACAAAGCAAGCACGTTTATCAGGTATATAATCAATACTATTATTATTATTACTCAGTATATTTAATAAAAATCAGGTCGAAATTTATTCATCGTTTCAATCGAATTTTAACATGATTTCTAATTGTTCAACAGTAAATATTAAAAATAAAATTAATTACTTATTGTCACTCATCAAACTTATGTAACCTGAACGAGAATAACAATAGTATTATCAGTCAAACTCTGAGTTTAGTATAACCGTTTCTTCATATTAAGTTGTTTATTTAAAATTAAATTAAACTTATTGGCCTGCTTGAACATCTGAGCTACCTGTTCCTGCTATCTACATATTTCAACAATTTATCTAATTTTCTTTGTTTAAATACATCATTATGGCTATTAATCGTATAACCTATTCAAGTGCGTTTCTGAAAAGTGTAAAACATTTCGTTGTACAAGTTACAAAAGACTCAATAAGAGATATCGTTGTTACTGGCACTACGCAGAGAAAAGAATGTACATTATTTAGATGTCGATTGATTCGACTTTTTATTTTATTTATTTTAACACATAGATATTGGTACAAGGAGGCACCAAATACATATGCGCCACACAAATCTCATTTGATATATGTGAGGGCTGTGATAATGCCCGGGTGCTATGTCTTTGGAAAGTCTTCATATCGATGTCTGCTGTCTATCCGAGATCCGTATTCAAGACTCTGGCGAAGTACTACAAATTCGCTCTACATCTGTCACTTCAAAAAGCTTGTTTTACGTGCACTTATCCGGGGACCCTGTGGCATCTTCGTTTGGTGTTGCTGGCGTTTGTGTCGCACTAAGCGCTAGAGCTGAGGCAGCTTTAGTCGATTGGATCCACATTAATAGTCGGTTATGTGCTGTTAGATTAGAAAGTTCCATCAAAGTGAGAAGAAATCGGCGTGAGAAACGATGTCTTTTCGTCATCTCCGCCTATGCCCCGACAGATTGCAGCCCGGATGCAATCAAGGGTGAATTCTACCACCAGTTATCTGTTCTTCTCCAGAAAGTGCGTTCGACAGATATTGTAGTACTAGCCGGAGACTTGAATGCTCAGGTCGGGCGTCTAGGCACAGAAGAGAGTCGTTTAGGTGGCCGATGGGGACTCGTTGGTCGCAGGTCAGATAACGGGGACCGTCTACTGCAACTGTGCACAGACCACAACCTGTTTCTGGCTAGCACTAACTTCCGGCACAGTCATCGCCGATATGCCACCTGGCATCCTCTCTCTGCATCCCAAGCCTGGACTCAGATTGATTACATCGCGATCAGCTACCGCTGGCGTGGTTGTGTACAAGACTGCCGCTCCTTTCGGAGTACCTATCTGGACTCTGACCATGCTTTGGTCTGTGCCAATCTTACCTTACTTTTCAGTGGACAACGAAGTGACCGCCAACAACGGATTGATGTTAGCAAGCTGGTTGCAACTACTGTTGCTAGTAAGCATCGAACCGAGCTAGTTTCTAGGCTAGCTACCATTCCGCCGAATAGTATAAATGAGCATCGGTTACAATTGTATGACGCGATGAAAATGGCGGGTACAGTCAGTTGTGGGTTCGCGAAACGTCCCGCTTTTAAGCACTGGGATTCTTCTGGTTCCTTACAACTCATTGAAGCCCGTCGGTCTACTCCGGGTGACTGTGAGTTTGACCACAAACGAAGGATGTTACGTAAGGAAATTGGACACAGCTTGCGTAAGGACCGAGAAGCCTGGTGGTCGAAGCGTGCTAATGAGCTGGAAGCAGCAGCTGCATCTGGTAACTACCGGAAGTTCTTCCAACTCATCCGAGCCACTGGCAGCAAGAAGTCTGGTGTGAGTGAAACAATATGCGAGGATAATGGGGTGCCAATCATTAACATCCATCGACGTCTTGGACGATGGGCAGAATTTTTCAAAGGGCAGTTCAACTGGCCTGCTGCTCCGGTAACATCGGCCGAACTGTCCTGCCCTCCATGGCCGGTGACGACTGATCCACAGAATGAGGCGGAAGTTTGCAAGGAACTTCCAACCCTTTTTAAATATGGTGGTGACACTTAGTTTTATAACAAAATAATTAATATATTTCCAGTCATAGTTAAAGGCTCCATTTGTTCACTAAATCTTTGGTAACGATATTATACAAATATACATGCAAAAGGTACATATCACACTTGAACTCATTTCACGTCAAACAAAAAATTAGATTTGCATAGAAACAAACAAGTGTTTAGTGTAAACTAATTTTAGGCTTTATATACCTACAATACGAACCATTCAGTCAGTTAACGTAGGACTTAACACATACGTGAATCGGTCAACGCTGCCATATTAGAAAAGTCAGGTGAGATTAACAAGATTAATTGCAAGTGAATCGCAATAAAAGTAAGAAGGACTGAACACTGAAAATAATGACTACGATTATAACGCAAGCTCTAACCAGATAGTATTCACCTCTTGAACTGATGTCAACTATTGGTTTGACCCCTAGCTAACTTCCAATCCACTTCTACATCGTACGTCAAGGTAGGTTATGGTTTGATATAAGTGGCATATATCCCAGACACGTTATTCGATCAAAACTCACTGCCTAACTAACCGATATGAAAAATTGATCGAAACAATGCTAACGAAAAAGTACATTTCTATAATAAGAAAACAAAGATTATCGGACAAATAGAAAGTAAGAGGAAACAAAGAGAGTAAGAAAAATAATGTTCAAGACAATTTGAAATTTACTACGCTGGATAATAAATTAATATTACCAAGGTAGGTTTACGGTGAGAACAAACTGTTTTTGAGTTAACAAAGGGAGTTTGAACTTTTGTATGGCCGAGGCTTCAATAAACTCTTGTATACGCCCTTTAACACTTTTGTACACCACCACAAAAGCCATGTTAAGATTAATCTTATGGCCTGTTTCAATTATATGTTTGAGAATGGAGGACCATGGATGTTTATCCTCTACTGTTATCGGGTCATTTAAGTGTATTTACTTTTTCAATCATATAGGTGCATGTTCAAACACCCTAATTTGCAAATCACGATTACTCTCTCTCTCTCCACATGTGTGGCCACACACACGCACATGTAAACTGATGAGTATAGTAGGATGTGATATAACTGTTCAGTGTAAAATCTAGACGGCATGAAACTGATCAATTTCAGTCCTAAACATCAATGGGAAGATTCAAGCAACCAATAACAAATGAATTGAAGAGACCAATTGTTTCGCATCTTCTATTGGATCGAATGTAATGTAAACCATGACTAAAATATGTTTCTATTCAATCAATTACAAAATTCTAATATTATAATTACAAAATTCATTGTAATTTCAATTACATATTATTCACTTGTAATTGAAGTACTTTATGCATCAAAATACATTTGTCACTCTTCTTCTTTGGTTAGTACTATACATAAAATTGAATCACTATGTACAAATAGTGAATTCATCAAACCACTTGAAGATAAATAGTAATGATAAAGTAATTAATCCATTACAAAAGCATTTTATTTAATCAACCAATTTAATGATGCTGCTCTAAACATATTCACACAAATAATATACATTGTAAGGTGATGTTATACATATTATTTAATGAAAATTCTTTTTTTATATTCTACGAAAAAATCAATAATGACAGGTATTATTGATCTGTTGGAATTATAAGTGAAGTTTTAAGAACAAGTTTTCCGCATTCTTTCATATATTGCATAATTGAATTAAGGATAATAGAATGATTATTTGAGTTTTACTTATGACGATTCAATGAATGAGTCATTGAGTCCTAATGTAACCAAATAATAGTAGTACAATCTGGCATTTTATGGATTGAAGTTGATCTAGTTACATTTTGATCCATCTAGATCTACATATGCCCAACTGTGAAAAATAATTTTTAGAAGTGAAATCTCTTCACTCTTTCAAACTCATGTTGACTTTCTGAGTGAATTTTTTAAATGAACTATTCATAAAATAGGTATCATTACCAAGGTTTGATTTGATAATTTCGAATAAATTGAGCATTGGGTTGATTGTTATAAATAAAAAATAAAATATTTGTAATATCCCAATGGGTAGAAAATTAGATTTTCTGACGTTTCGTGACTTAGTGTAAGTCACTTCTTCAGAGAATAATATAAACTTGTTCAGACCTGTTTTTGATTGATCAAATATTATTCTTACATTGTTCCGTTGTACTCTTTAAACTTGGATTAATTTTAATTTGGTTATTTATTCTCTGAAGAAGTGGCTTACACTAAGTCACGAAACGTCAGAAAATCTAATTTTCTACTCATTGGGATATTACAAATATATCATTTTTTATTTATTCATAAAATATTTTATATTGTCAATATATTATTCAAAAGCGAAAAACTGGAAATGAGATGCAAAGTTGAGAAGTCGGATGATAATTAATCCTGAATTTTACGTCCTAGAGATGTGATGATTCTAGAATCTAACAATGTCAACTTTACAAAGCAATCAGGCTTTCCAATGTTAGAATTTCAGTGGATTAGAATAGGTTTTATGAATCTTAGTCATCTATAACGGACATCAATGAGTGATTTGTGTAGCTTAAAAAGAGAATAATATTCTTCCATAAATTAACTGGGCTTCAAGGCTGCTAAACGAAGGTCTACTCCGATCGACTATGAAACAACTGGCTGTGGGTTTGAATAGTATCAAGGTTCATACTCAGACTATCAGATGATAAGCAAGAACTATAAAATCTGATACAGGAAATTCAATGGAAAAATATGAGAGACATGTCATACTAATATAGTGTAAGTGAATATCTACAAATTCATCAATCGACTAATATCCTACATTACTGACTAGATGATTACATCATGGCTCAAAGTAGTATAAAAATGACTACTAACACAATTTTGAAAATATAAATGAAAATTTGAAAAACGATATAAAGTAGAATCTCCATCTCGTTACCTGTAAATGGATACAAGGCATTGCAATCACCAATAGCAACGATCTGTGATTCTTTTGACTGCCTATTATTATTATTATCATCTTGTTTGTGATAAGAACTAGAGGATATTGAACAAGTGGAATCAATATTATCGACTATGCCTTCAGTTACTTGTTGTTCGTGTTTAAGGTGATGACGTAATGACTGGTCCTGTTGTTGACACTTTTGCAGTTGTGAGTACCAAAGTCCTTGCTGTTCATGTTTTTTTAAGAGATTTTTATTATGATTATATAAAACTTGATCAGAATTTTTTAATTCGAAATGATTATAAGATGAATTCATTTGAGAATAGATTGTGTTATCATTGTGATTAGACTTTAAATTAATATGGTGAGAATCTCCATTTATTGTTGAACATTTACTATTATCATCATTATTATTAATTGTAGATCTATTAGTGAATGAATTTTGTTTTAAAGTAGGCATTTGACCATTCAATGGTTCAGGTAGTTGACTGCGTGATGAGGTTAACGTTGACTGTGAAGATGATTCGACTGGAGTTACAATAGAACCAGTTTCTGGTTCAGCTAAAGGAGCAGTAAATAATTTATCCTGTTTTAATAATTGTTTAGAGAAACCACCATTTTCCATTGACTTTCCTGATGTAGTAAGATAATAAAGAGGGATGGAAGACCTTTCATGACCAGAAGATAAGCCTTTCGCTTGAGAGTCAGAACGAGAATGAAGAGATGGTGAAGGAGTATGAGCTGTTGTTGTTGTTATCGTCGTAACGGGAAGAACAGCAGCAACCGCGCCACAGCTGGGAGCATCAGGAGATTGACATGACGATGCCACAGACTGAGGTACTCCATTTAGGACAGATGTTGATGCATAGGCTACATTATCACTGTCAGTGGTTGAATGAATTCTAAATTGTCGTATATAAGTGTTATTGTTGATAGTTATTTTGTCATTTCCATGACCATTATTTCCTAATTCAGAATTCGAGTCAGAGAAATCACTAGGATCTGTAATAGCATTGTCCCTTAACCTATTAATACTACCAGTAATTCTAGAATTATGAGTTGCTCTCCTTTTCGAGTCAAACAGACTAGATAGAAAAAGTAAATTAAAAAAAAACAGAATTACAGAAATTTTGGAAGCTGATGTTAGCTGAACTTATCAAATCAAATAGAAACCAATCACATAAACCATAAATCTTAACAGATTCTATGAGTAACTTTTAATATTAAAGATTTGATATGAACTTAAGTCTCCTTGAAACAAATCTCCTTCTTTATTATAAATATATTTTTCTTTTATAGTCTTTTAAGTTCAGTATAATTTGATGGTGATAACTGTAAAACCAGTTACGCACAATAGATTTCGTCATTTTTTAAAACTCACATTCTGGTACAGCCAAGCACCAAAATATAATAAACAATAAATAAGCAACTAAGTTACACTATCTCTAGGACACCAAACCTGGACGTTTTAACGAATCGACAGATCCCAGTCAAATATGGTCTTTTGCCATATCACAGAGCCATTTAATAAGCTAGTTGCCTTTACATTTTTTCCAACCAGTCACAGCATTGACAAATAATCTTTGATATAGAAAGCCACATGGATGGCATTCGCAACACATGGCCGGTTCATCGAAATCTCTTCTTGAAAACGCTAACACTAAATGAATTATTATCACTGTGCCTGAATACACATTTCCGAATCTCAACACTATTATTGTAGAGTTGGCACCAAATAACAGCAATCCTTCAGAGATAACGATGACCAGAGACGGATAGTTGTTGAAAAGCCTCAACTTGGAGAAGGGGGATTCATAAGCCATGAACTGAATGGCTCTCACCGACATCTAATACACCCAACCTTTTACAGTCAAACAAACATCACGAATGTTTTAAATATAGCCCAAATTAGCATAAACCGCTCTGGCTTTAAATATGTGTAGGTTGATTTGATCTATCATGTAACCACCAGCACTCACACTGTGGTGCGTGCTACTTATATTGATGTAAGTAGTATATCACGCGAGTTAAAACGTAGTATCTGGCAGCAGAAGATGAGGTGAAGATCAAGGAAGCAAGAGCGAGAACACAATGGAATTTGTAAGAAAACGCATGTACAATGGAATGGGAGACAATGGATTAGTGTTTGCAACGGAAACAGTCCAGTTTGATATGATGCATTGATATTTTGCAAACTGACGATTGACTTTATGGTATTCAGATTTTTCGTGCTAAATACAATCAGTTATCCTCACCTGTGTTCTCCTTCACAACAACACTACTACTCGAATACTCAAACTTTCTGACTTCTTCTAAAGGCTCACTACCAAGAGAAACTGGAGATAAAGGATTCTGTCAATCTTGTAGAAGTACATTGCATTTAGAAGGTACAAATTGCATGCTATACTAACGGATACTACTAATTGTTAATTGATTAATTTCAAATTCTATAATGTATGAATCACCGCACATCAAGACAATGATATCCGTATACCCAATATCTAAAAGTCTTTTTCCAGGTAGCCGACTATAATAGTCAGGTGATGATGATCCGAATTTTGTTTCGGATGTTAAATAGTAAGTTTAGAAATCAAGATAATCAACTAGTCTTTGTGAAGCAATTAACAGACACGTTATAATGAACTTTATAAATCATTATCATTCTCTGTGAAACAGAACGAGGTATATTTTGCAACTGTTAAATATGTATTCAGTTTTAGAAACTGAATAAAAATATATAACTGTGTCTATCATGCTGTTGGGGTTGTTAGATTCCCAGAACTCACTTAGTAAATGCCTTAATTTTGTAGTTTTATTTTGGAAATTTAAATGACCTTGTTTTCGCGCCAAGAGCGCTTTTTTCACCTTCATGTCGTATTTCCCACTTGGAAGAATCTTTAACGCTATTGATCCGTTGTGTATTTTTAGTATGCTATTTTTGCAACGCTTCCCAAAGACAGTTTTATGCTGTATAAATACGTTTGTGTCTGTTATTATTCACTCGTGCTTCTGGCTTACGGAATATACTTTCCCGTTCCAAGCTTGGACTTCTTCCTCTAGTTAGCGGGGCTGGGGCACATCAAATAGCTAGCTTATTGGTTTACGGTCACAAGTCTTTGCTCCGGACGCATACTAAGTGAACTAGTAACAGCTTCAAACCTAGCACATGCAGTAGGCATGACATAGTTAAAAGCACTTTTCAACAATTATTATACTTTTACCTCAGGAATTGATTTCAATTAGATAATCAATGAAAACGGGAAAGCATCAGATAGCTATTTAGTCCTAGTATGAGTGTTATGCCTCAAAGAGACAGCCGATTATATGACAGTGACTTATCGATCGAATCAAGGATTCAGAATCTCGATAGTCTATTCTGGTCCGTTGTCCCCAACTCTGCTAACTCGATCAAAAAGTCTGGGTAAGGTGTAGAAAGTGTATTCTACAGACAAACAGCAGATAACAAGTCAGGCAGGCAGATCAGATCAAGCATACAAATCAAGCGTATTTATACAAATATTTACAATCGATATTGTCATGGAAGATTTTTGAACATTAATCAACAATTTGACTGCTATTTGAACATTTAATCGATAGTTCATCAATTGACCTATTTGTACATTTAATCGATAGTTCATCAATTGACCTATCTGCATATTTAATCGATAAGTAAATTACAAAATTTGAGTTTTGGGGATCTATCGTCCCCAACAATGAGACACCTATGTAGTCCGCACCCACAACTTACCAGAGAACGAACCCAGGACCTACGGTTTCGTGTCGCGCGCTCAACCACGAGATCACTGAGGTGCTATCCAATGGTGTACATGTCTAATTTTAATCAGCAATATATATTGCAACCATTAATAATTATTAACCAATTTACAAATTGATTTAGACCATTTAGCCAAACTACATTTTTAAGACAAACAAAATCGTGCGGATCATCATGATAATTGGACAGTTTTGTTCCGTTAAACACTGAAAAATCGGTTTCTAACCTACACTACCAACCATGTTTGTTAAAATACACATTGCGATTTGAAATAAACCCAAATTTAATAGCAAAACATCGTAAAACTCTTTCTCATATTTCAATAATGTCATAGAGTATAACATGATACGCAAGTGCATACGTATTAATTATAAACACATGGTGGGGGAGATTTCACTTTTCGAAAAGCCATGTTATCGATCTCAACTAGGCGATGAAATATGACACTTTGTTTAGACAAAAAAAACTCATTTTGTCATTCAATCAGTGAGTTTCGCGTAGTCAGTGATATAACTGTTCTGATGATTACCAATTGTAAGTGTAAATACTAAAAGGGCTGAATAATTTCACTTAACCGATGCAAGAGTTGTTTTAACATCAGTACTTGAATGTATATTTACAACTAGGTAATAATATATAGATTTATGTAATCGGCCGATAGACAATTTTCCGCGTACGTTCAAGGACCTATAATGCATTAAAGCTACTACACAAGATGAAGCATGGCTGAAACAAGTTATTTAAAACCAGTTAGATTGAGCATCACGAATTAATGATATGAGCAAATTAACAATATGTTTACTTCAGCCATTTGAGCAGTTTTATCGGTCAATCACACATTTGTAACAACGCTAATCTATTTTGATATCAGATGGTTAGAGCTAAACCATATTACTGCTTAGACGTAGGATTTCGTACTAGTTGGCATTTGTTAGTCAAATCTGTTCAAGTCTATATTTTTTCAGTAAACACAACGGAGAACTTCGCTTCTTCGGATTGAGATTTCGCTACTTATTTTATTCGAAAATACATACATCATTCTTTATTCTACACTATATTAATAACTAATCAACCGTGCTTTCATTTGTTCTTTTTCTATTGTGGATTTGAAGAAATAAAAATTAACTGTAGTAATTAATAATGTTGTTTCCTTAGTCCAATGAGAAATATAAGTGAATACAATTTGTTTAAGAAAAACTAACTCATTATATTTTAGAGATTTATCGAAAGTGCACTGATGTGAAGAGAAAAACAGAAAATGACCATTCCTACAAAATCGATTCGTTAACAGATTTATTCTCTCAGTAAATTATTGTTGGTAATAATAGTATTAACTTTGTGCGCCTTTCTGTGTATGTGTGTGTGTCCATTTAAGGTGTACCAGCTGCAATAATAAGATTTATCTGCTTACAGAGAATACTGAAATAACTAATCTATCAGTGTGTTCTGACAACTCCGTACTTTCGATTTACTGGAACTCTTTACTTCATCCGACAATTGTAGCAACTTCTAAGTCACGTTTCACAACACACTGCTTACAAATAATCTTGTGAGTAGCGTCCACTACAACCAAACCAGGTCTGACAACGAAATGTCGAAATGATTGATTAGGCTCCATTGGTTCTTAGATTCGGTGATTCAATTTATTACTTTACTTTTTAAAGATCATGTAATAATCTGGTCAATATATATATATATATATATATATATATATATATATATATATATATATATATATATCATATTATCTTCAACAAAGTAGTACAATGAAAAAAAGGATAACTAAACTGTACACTTATCACTTGTCCAACACACAAAATATATAATTCGAAGTAAATGATTAACATTCAAATAGAAACGAGAGTACTCAAAGAAAAACTTTTTGAACACAAACAAAAAAATATTATTTACCACGTGACTTGATTATATGCTTTCTGATGTTTGGTTCGAGCTGGTTCGCATAAATCCGCTACTGTTTTTAAATTCACAACGCTCTAAGACATAAAAGCGGAAGCAAGAAATAAGAACACGAGTTAAAATTTATCCTAAAATATAATTAGCTGTTGAATATACAGTAGATAATTTGCATCATAAACTGATGTCAACTGGAGAAATGCTAGAACTGAAGGAAGTAAATGATAGCCAGTTCATCCAAATTGAGCACTTTCCAGAAAGACATATTTACAACTTTATACAAGATTGAACTTATATTATCTTAAGTACCATGACAAGCAAATCATGATAGTTAAATACTATAAATAGCAGTAACCTTGTGTGCACTCATTATATTTGTCTACCAAATAGTAGACGTGTATGTTTAATATATGAAAAAATAACCAGGACATATAAACCATGAGAAGAATTATCAACAATCATGATTGTAATCAAACTACATTTGCTTGTGTATCTGTGCTTAATAATGATGGAAACAAACAAACAAGCAAAATTTAGACAGATAATAAACTACGCACAAAACACTAAGCCATAAACACATATATGAAGATTATTAAAGAGTAAAAAATCAAAGATGTATAATGCGTATGTGATAGAAGGCATGGAAATGTGAAACATTCAGTGATCAGAAAATGAGGTGAAATAAAAAAAGAGATGAAACCCGCAAAAAAAAGAACACAGAAACACATCTAATATGAACAATACCAGATCTCCGGTACTCTGTGAAGCTCTAATATCCAATGGACTCTTGATACAGATTCTATCATCATTATAATTATCATTGTTGTTGTAATCAGTTGTTCGCTGATGACGAGAGGAGAATTTCTTACGAAAACTATGAATCCGACGTGTTTTATGTTGATACTGACGTGAACTTCTACGCCATGGAACAACAGGTTCAAAAAATGGATTCGACCAACCTGATACAACACCATCTCCATCAGAATTAGCTTCACAATTTACATTCAATGAATTGTGCTGATGATATAGATTAATTTTATGATTTATACAGTTTTGATGTAGCAAAGACAACCCAAAACGAGTGTATAATAAAAATAAAATAGAGGAAAAATATAAAAGAAATTAGATTAATTGTTCACGTATTGGCTTGTAAATATTAGTTATAATTTGATTATGTCATTATTGGTTAGTTACATAGACTGATAACCAAAGGGAGGGAGCAGATCTTCACATAGGATATAATCAATGATAACTCCAACAAATGTGAACAGCAATAAGCGAAAACATCTAACTAACCGATATCCTAACGTTCAAATGAACGGCTAATTGTCAAATTACAACATAGAGTAAGCAGTGTAAAAGATAGATACATGATGATCACAAGTTCTAATAAAATAACGTTAAAACATTTCGACGAGTGGAACGTTGAAGCAACTACATAATTTTCGAGTCGGAAACCCAGTATGACATAGCACTCTAATACCATATTTCTTCCTATGAGTATCGATTGATTTGACAGAAAAATAACTGTCACAACAGAAGAAAATGGTATTCTTGTGTAGATAGATGATCGATTCTCATGAGCTGATGTGAATCATGACAAAGCAGAGATTGCATCCTTTGACATAAAGCTCTCACATGATGTAAAGATATCAGAAGATAGAACGCATTTATACACAAAACATCGAATAAAAAATACACGTAATGTTAACGTTACTTAAAATACAATTGACTACATGGTGTTAGTTTCCTAAATCCAATACCGCCTAGGAAATTGAAATCTAACTATCAGACTTCATTCTCGCTTATCATATCAATAATCAACTCAAGCTTTAACAAAACTTTCCCATAATCCCATATTTAAACACTATCTTGTTCACAAAAACCATTCAACCACAGATCATTAGATAACTCTAATCAATTTATGAAAACATTGACGGATGATATGAGACATATATTATGTTCCAAGCTTCCTTGTCAGGATTTTTGAGAGAGTAGTAATGTATGATTGGAGATCATAGGTAACATAGTTCGAAATTAACGTTACGGTAGCATCTTACAATGTATTCCTTTTTATTTAAATTTTACACTTTGTCATACACATTTTAGTTAGAAACTAATGTATTATTTCAAATAACTTTAAATTCATAATGGTGTGGACCTGTTAAATTTTACTAAACTCCCATTGAATTTTTATACGCGGTTTTCTTCCTTATTAATTGATGTATGATTAGTCTCATTATTTTATTTTAATATTTTCTTGCTGTGCTGACTTGATTAAAGCAATCAAAAGTCGGTATGTACTACGTTGTCGGTTGTATTTATACTATTTTGTTGCAGGTTGGAACTCTTCTCTTCCTACTCTGACATAAGCAGTAAGTTGCTACCACAGATACCTTTAAAAAAACGTGTTAATTCGAAATATGTACACGAACATCGACTTTCAAATGTTCTAACAGATAATGTGAGATTTTTATATATTTTCTATGTCTGCCACCTACCAATTAGGTTATATTATACTACTAATAATATTACTAACAGTAATAATGACAACAGATTAAAAACAGTGAATTAAACAAGAAACGATATTAACGAATAAATAAAAATTAATGGCAATAACAGTAAGAAGACAGTAAGCAAAAAACGTAACTAGTTTTTTACATGAACTTTAACCACACCTAATCATGAGAAAAGATGTAATTAATGGGATTAAGAATAATTTATGGTAAGGGTGACACTACCAGGTGCAAACAAGACATTCTTTATCTATAAATGAAAAGCATGGATCGGCTGTTTATTGTATCAAGCGATTATTTATATGAAAATTTATAAGGAATTATCCGACTGTAACTTCTACTCTAATATGGTAATCAGCTATACCTAAGTGTGAGTAATTGGTAAGTGACAAATCGACCCACATCTTTAAAATCACTTGATATTATCTTGTCCACGTTTAAATCATTCCTCTCTTCCTAATATTCTATCTATCCTTACTAGCAATCCTTTTCTGATGGTTCCATCTTCATCCGCATGAAGTGTTGTTTGTAATCTCCGGAAAATGCGCACCAAACCTTATCACAAATCTAACAATATACTTTACTAATTAGGGCTCCAGAATCCCGTTCTATTGAAATATATTGCATCTCTAAAACTGTCTTTTATTCATTCGTCTAATCCCACTTAGTCAGTAACAGAAATCGGCAAGATTTACCCTTCGCAAATCTGGGGATTTGACTTCTACTTATCAAAGCGTCGTTGTCGTAGGTAAAGTATTAATTTCCAAAGTACAACAGGCTCCCTTGGATTAGATCCCGATAAACAGCTGCTTATGTGCTGTCCCAACAAATGGTATGGTAGGAACCTAACAAAATAGAGACTTAGTTTCTCTTTACGCTCTTATTGACTGGAGTTCCGATAGAAAAGTGTTTTACAGAAGGCTTTTAACCCCACTGTTCAAAAAGCTAAACCTTCAGACATAGTAAGTGTAATCCTGAAGTACAAAGATCTTTGCATGACGACTGTTGGTAGAAACCAAAGATTTTAATGTGATGTATATGGAAATCTCTTCACATAGAAAGGCGATTCGGTTAGAAGCTATTCATAGAAAGAGGCAATTTTAGTGCAATAAGTTTAGAAAATACTTCACTCGAAAATAGCGGTTCAAATATAAAGTCTAAAGTAATCGTTTATAAATAATTAACGGTAATTTAAAAACGAAAAAAAATATGGCAACAGTAAGTAAGAAGCCAAGGATAAGACAATATCAAAATACCGTACATCAAATATTTGGTAGATATACATTGAAAATATATATGCTAATTCACCGAACAATAGCTTTCAAAGTTTCTCACTACTCTTTATTCACCCAACTATAGCAACAAGTGACCAGGTTTTTTAAATACTCTTGTGGACATGCAAACCAAAAGAAGTGATGCGCAAATATTTGGGACATAGATATAGGAAGTCGTTTTTATTCAAATAATCCCAATGCAAAAAGATTCCAAATGGGCATCATAAAAATAAAAACAAATACGTTAACTAGTTAACAACCCTCAATTATTACTCTACCGGTTAATGAAGTCAGTTGAAAAAAATGGATTCTGAAATGTACTGGAGATTATAACACGAGCCAATAAATAGAGAAAACGACATTACATGTAGCATATGGGGTTCTGGATACTCCTTTGCCTAATATATCAACATTTATGAACGTGATACAAGCAACTGATATAAAATGGTATCATTATTATAAGATGTAAATATGACAAATGAAAGAGTGCAAACAAGAAAAGGTAAGCAATTTATATTCTAAGTAAAGAGGGTTTTCGGAAAACAAGATACGAATCCGAGCAAATGTCACATTCATAAAGTCGAGAACATGAAAGCGTCGACACATCCTAACAGTCAGAAGAATATTGGATGGGTTGTATGTGACTAGCAGCGGGATTCAGTGTGTTTTGTCCTATTTGAGACTCGTCAGTTGGATGTACCTGCATCCCGGAGTTTATATTCACTACGAGACTCGAACCCGGTGCTGTATGCTTCAAGCTCCATCGCGTTATCCACTTAGCTACTAAGTCCAGATGGACACTCGTACAACGGGTATGAGATTTAATTCAACTTGATGAGTCCCAAATAGGAAAACATGCGCGCATTCTGTCTATTCTATATCAAATTGTGTCATAATGGCTCTATCGAAGCGGTACAGGATGTCCATATATCCCAACTAAGATATCAGATTTTAGTCAAAAATACCAACGGAATAATCTAAACCATTTCAAATTAAATCAGATTTTAAAATGGTTTATGGGTGATCTATAGATATAAGGATGTGTCTATATATATCCCAATTAGGATGGTTAGGTGGCAGAAAGAAAAGTTACTTTTCATTCCATAGGAAAAAGACGTTTTAAGAAATACATCTACCACTCAATAAACTAGTAATGAGCATATGATTATTATTTAGTTTTAAGGTTTGTGGAGATTTTTTTAATTTCGAAGGTGGTTTTTTTAAACCACTGAGAAGTGCCCAAATTTTTTACTTTTTTTAAATAAATGATAGTTCTGATTTGCAAAAAAAGCCTTTAGAAAATTTTATCTAAGTCATATTACCCCACTGACCTGTGCTATCATCGAACTGATTGTTTTTGCTTCTAGTTTGCTATTTTCGTTGTATCCTAAAGGGATAATTGCTGGTATATAGGCAGAGATGTTCTACTGCAATTTCGACTTTGAATATCAATCTGATCTTGAGTTTCTGACCTATGTCTTTAATCGAGTAGTGGATTATTGTTGGAGTGTTACGTATTATGCATCCAGTCTATCTAGTTTGCGCAGACGATGTTCCGTACTAGAAGACTATTCCAACCTATCGTAATTCAGAATAACCGTAAGGTATCTCAAAACAGGACGGTAACAGACTAATATCAGCAGAAGAATAACTAAAAAATGTCCTCAAACTGAATCATCACTAGCAAACTATGTAACTAAATAACTGATTACTATTGATTAGCATCACATTTTCAAAGCAAATTTATTGATATAAATCTTACGAACATGTAATTTCCCCTTATTCATGGGAGAATAAGTCGTTAAGCATCGTGAAAAAAACCCAGGCTAGGCTAAAAAAAATGCAACACATACACGCACATTTTTAAATCGTTGAAGATCACAGTGTCTTTCAAAAAAAGGAATTAGATCAGTCAATCAATGGAAAGTAGGGGTGAAAAGAATCAGAGACATGCACATCTTATTGAACACAAATATAAGTATAAGTAGATTAAAAAGCCGATTATTAAGCAAAACATTTAACGGTTGCACCAGAAGGCGTTACGATTAGAAAATAATAAATATATTCTCATGTATGTAGAATAAGAATATGCAAGCTACAAACAATACAAATGGATATTTTATTGCATCTCTCTATTTCGGTTAGTTGGTAAATTATAGATAATAATAAGAAGAAAAACACGTTAGATGAGTTAATTACATTAACGTGTTTAAACAAGCCAATTTATTACTAAAAATAAACCGACCGATCATCTGTGGCACGCACGATTTATCAGTCTGTTGAAATTGTCACTATAATGAATGTTTAATGTTAAAAATATTTACTTCTTTGTTTTTTAAAGCAAATTGACCTAGAGAATTAGGGCATATTATAAAATCAAGTTTTATTCCACAATGTATTAAGGTCAAATTGTGTGAATAACAAAATATTGACCATCTAAAACAATACAGATAAAATCACTCACATCTCTACTGTAAACAGTGCAGTTAGTCTTGAAACAAGTTAAGTAACTTAGAAAAAGAATTGCAAGGTACTGCATTCTATGTAGGTTGTTAGTTATATAATAATATAATGGATATTCACAAAAATATTCAGCCTAAGGAAGCAAAAAAAAGATATATTACCAAAGGGTGTAAAGCGAAACCAATTTTAGCATGTTTGCTGAATCATAAGCTGACTTATGCAGATATAACAAATTGACTATTCAAGATGCGATTATACGTCATAGACCACTGGGGAAAGAAACCGGATTTCATATGTTATTCGCAATCTAATCAACTTAGTCATTATTTACCACCATATCATAGTTTCACTAAACATAATCATTATTTAATAAATTTCAAAGATGAACACAGTTATAGTGACTGCGAGATGTGACCTGAAATTCCAAATGAGAACAAATAACATCATAAAAATCTGTGTATCAATCGGACCACATTGATCTAAGCAACAGAATATACGGTACACTTGTAACCAGTATAAAAAGAACCATGCAAACAATCTGATTCGGACTCTTGATAATAAAACTGCAAATACCATATATTTATTGTGTGGTATAAGAACAGCAATACATTTCATTTTTAAAATCTAAGTGCGTTTGTGAAGAAGTGAACATAAAAGCTTTAGTGATGTAACTGTGCTGTAAAGCATTTCATTTAAACATTTGCAGCACGTAAACTTATAAAATACTTGAAGACAATGTGAAACAGTCTAAAAACGGTTCTGCTATAGGTTCAGATATGGGTGAAATCGTGAGATGAATAATACCGTGAAATAATAGACTATTTAGATGCCTGAAAATCGGATATAATGTAATCCTAACATTGAAGAAGCAATTATGAATGCTGAAATCGTAAAAACCAAGCACATGTTTTACCTCAATAAACAAGTCTTACGTTAGATTGTGTATGCTTATTGGTTAATCAGTACCATGGTAATCTTAAGGTCACAAAACCTAACTATATGATATAGGCCTGACCATGATGTATGTTATAATTAAAGAGAATGAAACGAAATGTAATAGTTATGTTGATAGTCTACAAACCTAATAACCCTTATTTCGTTAAGAGAGGTGTAGGCAAGATATCGATAAAACTATTGGCTAAGATCACCGCTTCTCTTAAGTTGTTTCCTAATACAGAGATATTCAAATATGAAGGCAGTTCAGTTGATAATAGGCCCCGATCGTCACAAATGTTCTTACACTATTCCTGTTGAAAGCAACAAGTTCCTGAAATCGATAAAGGAGTAACACGTATAGAAAAATAAAACAAAATTACATGTATGAGCTTTTTTTTACAAACGCAAATCTCAACATCAAACAGTGAATAGGTAAAGATGTTATTTGCATATCTTCGCTGCGTTTATATGAACACATTAAATAGTGATGAATAATTTTGCCAAGTTTACAGAAGACCAATTCCATCCTTAACAAAAATCGATATTTTCATTCATATGATTAACGCGTCA